GATCCCAACATCTATGGATACTCAAGTCCCATTAAATACAATGGTGTAGTAAAATGGTGTCCCCTATAGGAAATGACAAAATCAAGGTTTGCTTTTGGGAATTTATATATATAGTTTAAATATTTTTAAGCTGTAGATGGTTGAATCTGTGGATACCAAGGGCTGACTGTACTAATCTCTCTTATTTTTTTCTTATTTTTGTGGGGTGGTGGATTGTTTCTTCACCCTCACAAGAATGACCATTCTCTGTAATTGTCAACCGTTCATTTTCTGTGAGGTGGAAGACACAATGCACAACACATGGGTTATACCCAAGCCACCAAGTCTCACGGAGGACCTAATCATTATGAATGCTCAAAACAGCCTGGAGGACTGTCCCACCAAAGGCTTGACTAGATCTGAATTTGTCCATCTTACAGTGTTTCACAAAAGTCAATGGCTCCTTCCCGCCTGCAGCTTTACACACTTCCTCTTCTTGGGAAGCTGCTACTCTTTAGGCTGTGGTTGTTGCCATTGATCTGGTAGAATGTTTTGGCCTAGGAATGTTTGCTAACAGCATTTCCTTAGATGCTTTTGTTCCAATAATCTTGTATTGAAGAACATGAACAGAGTTTCTGTTCGTCTAAACTATTCTTTCCTTTTCAAGTATATTATTACTGCTCTTTTGACATCCAAGGGATGCCACTTTAATTCCAGAGGATGACTTGGTTTGGGGGACAATGTCCATTACTTCATAGAATCATAGAATCATAGAGTTGGAAGAGACCACAAGGGCCATCCAGTCCAACCCCCTGCCATGCAGGAATTCCCAATCAAAGCATCCCTGACAGATGGCCATCCAGCCTCTGCTTAAAGACCTCCAAGGAAGGAGACTCCACTACTCTCCGGCGGAGTGTGTTCCACTGTCGAACTGCCCTTACTGTCAGGAAGTTCCTCCTAATGTTGAGGTGGAATCTCTTTTCCTGGAGCTTGCATCTGTTGTTCCAGGTCCTATTCTCTGGAGCAGCAGAAAACAAGCTTGCTCCCTCCTTAATATGACATCCCTTTACATATTTAAACACGGCTATCATATCACCTCTTAGCCGTCTCTTCTCCAGGCTAAACATCCCCAGCTCCCTAAGTCGTTCCTCATAGGGCTTGGTTTTCAGACCCTTCACCATTTTAGTTGCCCTCCTTTGGACACTCTCCAGTTTCTCCACATCCTTTCTGAATTATGCCCAGAATTCAAATTCTACTAACTATTTTCAAATTCACTACTTACTTTAGCCAGCAAGGACTTCAGCGTGAAAGCATGAAGGACTCAGCATGAGTATTATTAATAGATAATTAAGGCTCTATCAAGGAACTGCCAAAATGCTGAGCTGGTGAATTAATCTGATATCCTGCTTTCGAGTTCTCACCCATTATGAACACCAAATAATTTAAGAATTCATTTGTCTTGTTGCTTCCCAAAGCATCTCTGATCCCGCTTGCTGCTTCTTTGCATGGAGAGATTCAGCAACTATATCGATCATAGCCCTTTGCTGTTCCATGCTAACATTCACCTGGCTATTCCCTTTCTTGGGTGCCACCTTTCTTTTCTGCGTGGTTTTCCCAGTTTCAAAATGGTAACTGGAAGTTATTTCTGTGTTTTTGGTCTCTGCGCCACCTATGCTGATTTTAGCAGACTCACTAGGTAAAGTTTTAGATCTGAATTTTACCTTATTTTTATCCTTTTTTAAACCTTATTGTTCTGTCCTGACTTCGTTTCATGTATTTTCTCCGGATTTACCCACTGCTGCAGAGATCAGTTTTCTGCCACACTCTCACTAGACATTAGAAATACTTTCTTCAGTAGCAACTCTGATTCTGTCTCAAATATTTGTCTCTTATTTGGTGATGGCTTAAATCCATAATTTCTATCAAATTTTCACTCTCTGCGACCTGCTTACTTGCAGTCTTGAAGGGTTGTGAAGCCACAGAATCATTTTCCATTTGACGTCTTTATTTTTCAGAAGGCAAAGGGTTGGTTTCAGATACATCCTCTAAAACTTTTTGTTTTGTCTTCTTATTTGCTTCCTCCTCCCCAGATTAATTTTAATTTCTTATGTCAGATGCCATTTTAACCTAATTTTCCTTACTTTTAAAGGTTTTACTATTAATTTAATCAATATTTTAGAGGGCTAATTGTTCGACTGGTCAGAAAGGCAGGAAATTAAAAACTGAGGAGGCCACAGTTACACAGTAATTGACTTGGAATTTTGAGTTTCTGTGTGACCTGGTTGGCACGAGGGATCAATCCACATGGATTGTGGATTGTGTCTTCAGCCTCACAGAGAATTGTCGTCTCACTATCTTTCCTGTAAAAACTCAAACACCAGGTCTGTGTGCACTCTGATATGCACCAGCTGAATTTGCACCCAAGAGAGTCAAATTATGTGACTGTCCAAATTAGCCAACCTATTTCCATGGCATTCACATACTGTATTCAGCTTCTCCTAGGGCATATGTATGCAGCACTCTAAGTGTACTGGGACTGTATCTCCCATCATCCTACAACATCGCCTATGCAGCCTAGGGAATGATGGGAGTTGCAGACCAGCATGTAAATGGCAAACACAACCTTGACTCACCACAGTCCTCAGTCCTACTTCATTCATTCCATGTCTTAGGGCTTGTGCTTGAGTACATACCTAAGGGTACATGTGTGATATTTGTGGGGTTTCTCATCTCCAAGAGAATTTCTTCCAACATCTCTGCCTTGGTCTTTTGTGCCTTTCGGGCCGGGACTCGCAACACCTAGAAGAAAAGCAGATGAAAGCAGAGAGCATCCCACCTGCAGTTGCTCCCATGTACTTGTCTTTTAAAAATGGTTTGAAAGATTTTTAATCTAACCCAGGATGGGCAATGAAGTGGACAACTTGCCCAGTTTGGAGTTCAAGAATGGAGGCACAGTGAACTGAGGATAGCAGTTTATTTAATGACACTGTGCTGTCCAGATAGCATTCAAGCTGACCAATCTGGGGTTCCACTGTCACATTCTGACCACCTAAGTCCCCAGTTTGTGAAGATGGTGAAACCAGAGAGGCAGAGGTAACGTCAACACTCCACTTAAGCGTTCCTAAGTCTTGGAATCTCAGTATATTTATATGGGAAATGAGCAGGCTCTTTGCTAATATCGTAGGCTACTTATATGCATTTATAGATATACAAACATATATGAGAGGGTGCTGAAAAGTTCTCGCCCAGACCCACTTCCCAAAATCTGAGTGCAATTTTGTCGCATGAAAGAGTGTTATTTTGTAGGGTAACCTGTCAATCTGCAGGATCATACCTCTAATTTTTGGGGTTTTTTTTCAAATTATTGATAGAACTATGTCAAAGAAAAGTGTGGAATTTTCAACTGCTAAAGTTCCTGCTCCTGCAGAAGAAAACTCCAAAGGAAATCCATGAGTGTATGATGTAAACACTGAGTGACAAGTTCCCATGATACTCAGCTGTGAAGAAGTGGTGTGCCAACTTTCAGTGGGAAGATTTTGAGACTGAAGATACAGCAAGGTCTGGAAGACCTTCAACAGTGTCAATTCCTTAAATGGCTGAGCATCTTCATGACCTGATTTTGGCAAATTGGTGAATCTCAGCTAAAACAATTGCTGAGACATTAGAGATATCCTGGAAACACGCTGGGTTTATAATTTATGAGTAGTTGGCTATGCAATATCTGTCAACAAGTGAGTGCCAAAATGTCTGAATGCTGACCAGAAATGAAAACAAGGGGATACCTCCCAAATTGATTTTGTAGCATCTACTTATAATTTTTTGGAACGACTCATCACTGTTGATGAAACATGCTAACGTCACTATGATCCGGAAACAAAACAACAGTTCTTGGAGTGGCAGCACTCAGGTTCTCCATGGCAAAAGAAATTAAAGATTCAAAGGTCAGCAGGAAAGGTTATGACCAGTTTTTGGGGATAAGGAAGGTATTTTGATGAGTGACTATCTTCAGAAGGGCCAAACCGTTAATGTAGAAATACTTAATTTGCTGTGCTGATTGAAGGAGGCATTGAAGGAAAAATGTCAAGGGAAGCTGCAAAAAAGTGCAGGACAATGCAGCTGCTCACACGGCTGGCAAGATGGTGGGTATTTTGAATAATATTTATTTATTTGTTTAAGGGATTTAGATCCTGCCTTTCTCCCAAAAATAGACTCGTGGGGGTTTGAATGCACAGATCTCCCACACTACTCACCAGATCTTGCTCCATCTGACTATTACTTTTTCCAAACCGTTAAAAAAGTTTGAAAGGAAGGTAATTTTTGAATGATTCAGAGGTGATAGTAGCAGCAAAGCAATATTTCAGGGACCAGATGGCACAATTTTTATTTTATTTTTATTTTTTTGGAAGGGTCAAAGAAACTTAAAACTTGTGCCAAGTGCACTGAATTTTGGGATGAATATGTGGAATAGCATGTATGTTTCATGGCTCTAGGTCACTCCCTCCTTGGTTGGAATGAAAACTTTTCAGCACCCCCTCATGCATTACCCTTAGGGAGAAATACCAACATGTTAATATCTGGACACTTGCTTTCATCTCATTACATTATGCTGCATGCAAAGCACCATACATTCATTATTCTATATCATATGGCCATTATTGTTATGCTTTTATAAAGACTGAACCTTTACCTCTTTTTCTCTTTAACAGGCTTTTCGACAGTTAACGCACAGAGGAACATTACCATCTTAAACAATATAAACTCAGCCTTATATACATCGTCATCATCAGGTTATTTCATACTTTCCATAGTGTCTGTTAACACATTATATGCAACACTGTATAAAGGCTTTACATGTATAGCAGTCATTTCAAGTCATTTTGGGACTGTAAGACCTAAAAGAATGACAATGGAAGAAACTCTGCCTTCTGAATACCCAAAATTTCCCCTTTTTTGACCGAAAACATATTTAAAAATGTCATTCAGGGTGTCACGGGTCCCCCACATTATAAAATGCTACAAAAGCTAGCATAGTATAGTGGTTTGATTGTCAGGCTATGACTCTGGAGACCAGGGTTTGAATCCCTGTCGTCCATGGAAACACATTGGGTTACTTTGGGCAATTTACACTCTTGAAGCAAGCCTCAGAGGAAGGCAAAAGTAAACCCTCTCTGAACAAATCTTGCCAAGAAAACCCTGTGATAGTTTGCCTTAAGGTCGTCATTAGTTGAAAAAAAACAAAAACTGTAGGCACACGACAAGAACAACAACATAAAGATGGGCCAGAAGAGTCTGGGAGGTATAAGCCATGGAAGGTTGCATGCATTCAGGTCATCCTGAATGCATTAGAGGTAAGATTTCCCCAGGAACCAACTGGCTGACTGACCTTCTTTGGTGTTGACACATATGGCTTCTGAAAACTATCCAGCCTGGCCTTCGACTCACGGTACACCCGAGGATACCGGAGAGCCCTCTCCAGAGCTTGGACATTGTGCTGTATTCCTGGTTGAAATAAAAATGGAATGGGAAGGAATGTTCAAATGAAAACTGGGAGAGAAATTAATTGTTTTGATGTGAACCCACTAAATTTGCAGTTTCTGAACCGACAGATGAATAGAACCCATGTATGCAGTGATATTCAAATTTTACAGTGCAGTTTGCAAACTATTTTTTTAAATCAAACATTTATTATTAGGAAAGGGAATCCAAATATTCATAAATTAGGGGAAAGTACACATTAAATATAACTCTGGGAAAATGCTGGCAAAAAGGAAATATTTAGACAAGTGCGTACAAAAATGCATATTTTAGTAGTAATGCATGGAAAAATGTTTATGAATTTTCAAAGCATTGTTAAAAAATGTTCATAAATTAATGTGTAACTGTGACAGAAGAAGCACAGTACTGGGAAAATAAGAAACTGAATAAATTTGACATCCTTAGGCAAGGTGCTGAAGAGAAAATAAAACCTTCACCGGACCACATTCATGTGAAACCTGTTTAGAGTTCAGTATCTCAGCACAATTATCAAAGGTTGTACAAGACATCACTACAACAGTCATTTATTTATAATCTGGAACAAGCACTGCAAATTCTTTCTTAATTCACATCTGTACGCTGATGACATCCAACTCTCTCCCTAGGGACTGGGAACTCCAAGGAATCTCCCCAGGGTATTTTACAATAAGAACAGACCAACTCACCCACTGGCTCCACAAAATCTGGCCCAGGGTCCCCGCTGAGCAGCTCCTCGTAACCCTGGTATTTCTCAGAAAAAACCCATGATTTTCCCGTCTTTCCTTCCCTCGGCTGCTTGGTAGGCTCCGTGTGGGAACTGGGCACCTCATCTACCTGCAAAGCCAAGCCAGAAACAGGGTACTTTTTTATTTTAAAAACAAAATAAAACGAGTTCCAATATGATCCATTATCCACATTCATGAAACCAAATAACAGGAAAGGGGATTTTGAATCACCATTAGGAAGAAATTCCTGGAAATTGGTGGTATTGATGTAGGAAATGGCTAACCCCAATGGGAAAGTAGGGACCTCAAATGGATGGACACCCCCACCTCCAGTGCTGCCAATAATTATTTTCAGCCCCAAAATATTTCCTTTTCATCCAAAATATGCTGAAAAGGCTAACTTGGCAGTGCCAAAACATCCAGACACGCCCACCCCGCAACAGGCAATTAGGAGTGATATGAGATCATTATTATTATTATTATTATTAGCCAATACAGTGGTCCCTCCACAGTCGCTTAGGTTAGGGGTGAAGGAGCCCCGTGAGTATGGGAAAACTTAATATTAAAAAAACCTATTTTTAACTTAAGAAAACACATCTCTAGGAATCTCCAAGTCCTCCAGTGCAATTCTATGGTTAACATCTGCCAGGCGTTGATCACAGAATCATGCTGGAGGACCTACAGATGCCCAGAGAAGTGTTTTCTTTAGGAACTTTTAGATCCTCCAGCACAACCCTACAGTCAACTTCTGGTCTTTTCTCCAGGTTAAACATACCCACTTCCCTAAGTCACTCCTCATAAGTCTTGGTTTTCAGACCTTTCACCATTTTTTCACTCTCCTTTGGACACACTCCAGCTTGTCAACATCCTTTTTGAATTCTGGTGCCCAGAACTAGACAAAGGATTATTCCAGGTGAGGCCTGACCAAAGCAGAATAGCGTGGCACTATTACTTCCCTTGATCTTCTAGACACTATACTTCTATTGATGCAGCCTAGAATCGCATTGGCCTTTTTAGCTGCCGCATCACACTTTTGATTCATGTTCAACTTGTGGTCTACTAGGACTCCTAGATCCCAGTCACATGGATTCTTGTTAAGCCAGGTGTCCCCCATCCTGTATCTATGCATTTCATTTTTTCTGCCTAAGTACAGAACTTTACATTTCTCCCTGTTGAAATTCATTTTGTTAGTTTTGGCCCAGAAACTAGACTAGAAAGTACAAAGATATAAAACTGAATGCTAAAGTTAGAATTGTCCATACTGGAGAAGAGTTCTATGAATACCGGGGACTGCTGAAAAGAGAAACAAATAGGTCCTAGAGCAGATGAAGCTTAAAATCTCCCTGGAAGCCAAGATTACTAAACTGAGGCTGTCACACTTTGGACATATCATGAGAAGGCAGGATTCACTGAAAACCCAATAGTGCTAGGTAAAGTGGAGGGCAGCAGGGAAAGAGGAAGACCACCTTGCAGGTGGTTGGACTCAACCAAGGAAGCCGTGGTCATGAGTCTGCAAGAGCTGAACAGGACTGTCAAGCATAGGGGGTCTTGTAGAGGGGGGATCTTGTTCATAGGGTCGTCGAAATTCGAGGCTGACTTGAAGGCAGTTAACAACAACATGATTTTTGCCTGATGAAGAAGCCAGTGGACCTTTGAAAGCTTGCATCAAGAGTTTTGTTCATTTTGGTTGGCCAATAAAGGTATCACCCTTTTGTGTGAGTGCTTCCTATTATAATTAAAATACTTCTTTTGTCTGTCTATCTATCTATCTATCTATCTATCTATCTATCTATCTATCTATAATATTTTTATTGGTTTCAGACATTAAAAAAATCAACACACCAAATACATGTTCTGTACACCGTTATTTAGTTTACATTACTATAATAGTACTTCCCACCTTCAGAGGATCGGTGTTTAATGTTTTCCTTTTACTGGCTTTCGTTTCCTTAATTTCTATTCCTTTGGCCTCTACTTATTAATCTAATTTTATTTCCATCCGTTTGTCCAAAACTATAATGAACTGAAAGAAAACCACAACTCTAAAGATATCTAGATATTGTAAATTAATAACCCTACTATCTCTAACTTTATGCTATTTGAGTCAGACAAAAACCCATCAGTGATACTTTTGTTGGCCAACCAAAATGCACAATAGACTTGTTGCAAGCTTTCGAAGGTCCATAGGCTTCTTCATCAGGCAAGAAGTTACAAACCAAACAGGAGAAAAACAATTGGAGATGTTAGTTTTGTTTGAATTTGCTAAATGGCCAACACAGCTTGTTTTGTGCTATTTGACATTAACATTTACATCTCGTACCTTTACCACATTATATATCCGATACCACATATATATTCTTTCTTCTTTATTTTCTTCCTCATCTCCTTCTGTGACTACCCATACATATATGGTCAAAATATTAACTCATAATTATAATTACAGTCGCCCCTCCATTTTCACAGACTTCAAGTCCATGTCCCTCATCCGTTTGCAGGTGGGGGACAAAATGGGGTGCATGCCCCCATTCAAGCCTATGGGGCTTGAATATTTGTGGTTTTCCGTTTTGGCAGGGCGGGGATGGATCCCTCGTGAAAACGGAGGGGTGATTTTATAGTTAATTATATTGTTGTTGTTGTTATTAAAAATAATTAATTATTAAAATATTTCTATCCTGCTCTATATCAAAAGATCTCAAGCCAGCATGTACACATAAAGTCAGTACAAATTTGGTTAAAACAACTGAAAACAATCAAGCTAATTTAAATAGAGTGAAAACAAACATGATTAATAAGTTAAAACTTGCTTAAAAATAAAAACTTTAAATCCATATTCATTAGCATTTTGAGAAAAAAATCAGTGAGGCCCAAAGACTTGGATGGACAACCATGTTTTTACTTGGGGCCTAAATGAAAGCAGCGTTGGCACCAATAGGGCCTCCAAGGGGATGGCATTCCATAAGTGGGGTGCCATAACTGGGGAGGCCCTGCTCCCTCATTCTCACACAAAGTATTGATCTCACCGGGTGGGAGACACAGAGAAGGACTCCATTAGCAGATCTCAGTCCTTGGGCAGACACCTATAGGGACAGACACTCCCTCGAATATTGAGGTAGGTCCAAAGCTACTTCCTGTCGACCAAAATGGCAGCCACAACATTGCAACGTGGTTATCCATAGCTTTGGAGGCAGCACTAATGGTGCAGTGTGGTCCTCTGCGCTCTCCACCATGCCCATTCATGTTGTTGGAACTCACAGACTTACCACCCTCAGAATCTTCTCCAAAGTGACCATCCCCAGTATTTGTGGTTTTGTATTTTTCAAGTTATAGCTCTAGAACAGAGTTCTATGATGTCACTTCAACATACACATACCTGGGTCATGAAAAAAGGCTCTGGTTTCTTTTCCCCCAGAAATTCATCACTAATACTTAAAGTCTCACTAGGAAACTCATCACTGAGCCCTATAGGCATGGCTTCCATGTGGGCTTGGGCAAATAACTGATAAAGCTCTCTGGAAGATGATCGAGAAGCCAGAAGGAAATCAGATGAAATCTTTTGCTGTTGGGATGGTTCAAATGGCTGAAAGTCCTCTGCCTGTGATACAGATGTTCTGCTCATCTGTGGTTCAGGCTCCTGGTTTGGGTTTAGGAGTTCTGGGAGATCTTGTTCCTTTGAAATAGCGTGTTCAACAGCAGGTGGAAGAGACACCACCAAGTCCTCTTCGCCTCCAAGAGAGCCACTAAATGGAACAGGTTCTGAAAAATTCTGTTCTTCCAAAAATAAGCTGGGTGATAGAACAGATTCTGACTGATCTTTTTCTTCCAGAGGCAATCCAGCAGGTGGAAGCAGCTTGGC